CCGCAGGAGCAACATTCAGCACAGCGAGTGCAGCGGAGATGAAACGAGTGAGGGAAAACACCATGGGCACGTTTGGAAAAGGATCTGAAGACCTCCGAGCTACAAAGCCCATTCTCTTATTTGCCAATTTTCCCCAAATCTTGATGCTTTCTAATAATTAGTGCTGTGCCACAGATGTGACTTATTTCTTCATACTCTGAGTGTGTACACAGGATATGAAGATTTAAAGAAAGCATCATATGCTTTCTATTTGATAAAGCCGTTAAAATGAGGATAAAGATTAAAGCTGAGTGGCTTGGTTGGGGGAAAAGCGAACTGAAGTACTTTGACAAATCTAAACACATGGGAGAGAAGAAAAGGAAAAATGTGACTGTGGATCAATTCCATGGACTTTGAAGGAAACGGGATAAATGAGTCAACAAGCAATAAAAATGTTCAAAGAATTTCAGGGCTAAAAATGTCTGTAAAATAATGGATATCCTGTTTCTCAAGAGTGATTCATTTTCCCCATAAACAAGAATGAAACATAAGCTTTCACCTGTTATTCAAGCCTGATGAGAGAAATTACGAGATCAGGTATAAAAAATAAAATAAAACAAAACAAACAACAAAAAAAAAGTACAGAAGTTAAAATTGTATTTGAAGTTTGACATTTTAATTCACCTTTATTTGAAAAGTGGAAATTAAATCCATCCACCATGGAAATAAGTTAAAATGACAGCAGTGGAAATAACCAAATGCAGGAACCTGTCTGCTTTGACTCCGGCGTCGGCTGTAAACATTTCCACTTGCTGCAAACCGCAGTATTAAGTGGCACTTCATCACACTGAGACCTGAGATGTTATTGATGAGATTTTAGAAACAAGCATCCTGGGTTCCTTCAAATAAGCAGCTGAAGGGAACCTATAATTCCTCCTTTTTCACTTGAGCTGCTTCCTGACTTTTATTGCTCCCTGGAGAAACTTGGACATGGCATTTTTTCTCAATCACAGACCCTACATGTCTCTGCATTGTTGTTCCTTTCCTTTGCTTCAAAAATATTGACTGCAAAAATATCCAAGCAGCTGAACTGTTTTCACATTTCACTACATTACAAACAAAAACTAATGTATTTTTATGAAAGTTTAAGTGGTAGACACCTTTCGCGCTGTGAAGTGAAAGAAAAAGCATGTATAGTTTTCTGTGTATTTTTTAAGAAAAATGTGACATACATTTGCATTCAGCAGGGTTAAGTAATAAAATCTACATCCCAAAAGATTTGATACTGGAACTGAGGGTTCACCTTCCAGCTGGACAGAAACATTTTATATTCATCTAGGGCTATGGCGGAATGGTTCGAAGAAAATTCGTGCATTTGAATAATCCAGAAAAAAAAAAAGATGGACCAAGAATCTGTGGCAAGTCCTTAAAGTTGATGTTCACTGATGGCTATCCGTCCAATCTGACTGAGCTTGAGCTATTCTGTTACGAGAAATTGGCAAAAATGTCAGTATCAAAATGTGCAAAGCTCTTAAATACACCCTCAAAATGTCGGCGCTATAATTGCAGCAAAGTTACGCAAAGTACTGACTCAAGGCTGAAGTGAAATGCTTCATCAAATGTTTTTAAAATATGCTTTTTGTGAAGTTGTAATGTGACAAACGCAAAAAAAAAAAAAGAGTTCAAATGGTATGAAGACTTTTCCAAGGTACTTTAAGGAAGGAGGCTTGCTGTTTCACTGGGAGGCCCCTGGGGTACCACACAGCTGGCGTGCAGTAATTGCAGTGCAAAAGAGCGTGGAGAGATGGAGAGAGGCAGAGAAGGTGGAGATACAGTAACTCAGGCTGGTTTGAGCATTTTCAGCAACTCTGATGGATGTCATGCTGCGTTAGCGGTCCATCCCAGGTGTGCAGGTCAAGTCTTGTGAAACATAAAATAGCATTTGCATCAACACTTGGAGAACTAGACTTGGAAGGTTTCCTCAACCTCTTTGTGTAATCTCGTTCCTGCTCTTTATGTCATTTCCCTTCAGACCTCTCCCAGCTCCACTCGTTCTCCATCATTAAGCTCTCCTTTCCCTACAGAAGTTGAACAGAGGGATTTAGCTCCACCTAGTGGTCAAAGTTGTAAACGATCAGAGCTTGGGAAAATTTCAAGATATTTCCGTTTAATTTCTGAAGGTTTTTTTCTATAGTTTTGTTTTGCTGAGCTGTGCCAGTGGTGCAAGTATACCGGTAATTTATTACTTTCTTTTTCTTTGGTTTTTAATATTTATTCTGGTTATTTTATTATCACTAAATCCTGAATCTATTTGTTGCATTATTTTAGACTTCTTCTAGATTTGATGCATGTTGGTTAGATTTAAATTAAATTTTTTGTTACAGATAACACAATGTGTAAAATTAGGAAAAACTGAAAGTCTGCAGATAGATAGGTTGATACAATATTGTGTGCAACTGCAAGTGATCTGCACTTGTAAGCCCCTTTTTTAACTCGGCTTTGTTTTGCAAGTTTTTCTACCAGAAAATCCTTTTAAAAAAAAAAGTGACGCTACTGTGATGACACTGAGTCCAATTTTGATATCTGATCAATGTAAAAGTAGTCAGTTTTAGCCTTTTATTTAAATTCATGGCTTATAGAAATGTTCTTTTATTTTCAGACTGCAGAAACTGATGGTTATGTCAAAGAAAAAAAAACTTACGGAAAGATTTTGAAATGAATTAAGAAAAATAAAGTGAGGCTCACCATTACTCTAGCCTGATTTTAATCAAACATGACTTCAGACTCAGCTGCTTTGAGTGTTTTGTTGCATTCCAAATTTGATATTATTTTGGTTTACTTCCTGGGGTGATGTGAAAGCCACCTGTTGGATTTATTTGCCTCGTTGGATTTGCTTGGATGATAGACCAGTTTCCTACACATTTTCTGTTTCAAACTTACAGATTTTCCAGACTGTTTTTTTTTTTCGTATTTGTTTCAAAATGGTTGGGGTCAAAGTCAGACTATTTTTTTACTATGACAGATGGTTTAATATAGTTTGTGAGGTTTAGTATTTGTGTGCTCTAATGATTAAAAGTTCCAAAGTTGTACACAAAATCTATTTTTATCACTTTAGCCATATCAATCCAGTGAAGGCATAAAAACCTGAATGTGCCTGATTTAACTGGTGAGTTTTCAGTCACTCAAAAACACAGATTAACATACATACGCACTGCTCAAGAAAGTAAAGGGAACACCTAAACAAAACAATGCAACTCCAAATCAGTCACACCTTTTGTGGAATCAATGTTAGGTAGTGCCACATATAGTGAATCAACTTCACCTGCTGCTGTGCAAATGGAACACACAACAGGTGGAAATGAGAGACAATTAGCAGGACAACCCCTATAAAAGACTGATTCTGCAAGTGGTGACCACATATCATTTTTCTGTTCTTGTGCCTTCTGGTTGAACTTTTAGTCACGTTTTCATTTTGTCAGTGCTGTCACAAAGTTTTTTTTTACAGCCCTCTTAAGTTGCTCAAGTAGTGCAGCTATCAAAACTGAACATCATTTCAAGCGGTGGCGAGAAGGCACATAGGGCCTGTGCTACCAGTCCAGAGCATGGATTAGGTACCAGGAGACATCCCAGTATGCCAGAAGACATTGAGGGATCCATAGGAGGGCTACAACCCAACAGCAGTACTGTTACCTTGTCCTTTGTGCAAAGACAAACAGGAGGTTCACTGCAGGAGCCCTAAAAACGACCTCCAGAGGGCCACAAATGTACATGTTTCTACTCAAACTGTTAGAAACAGACTCCATGAGTGTGGTATAAGGGTCTGACGTGCACATAAAGGCCTGTGCTTACAGCTCAACACCTTGCAAAGCAATCAATGTGTGCTAGGGAACACCAAAGTTGTCGGATTCGCCATTGGCACCCTTCGCTCTTCATGGATGAAAGCAGGTTCACTCTGAGTACACGTGAGAGTATGGTGACACTTTGGGGAACATTATACTGCCTGCAACATCCTCCTCTAGTATAATATTTTGGTAGTGGGTCAATCATGGGGATGTCTTTGGATGGCTGCATAGCCCTCCATGTGCTAGCCAGATGAGCCCTTACTCCCAGACGGTACAAGGATATGATCCTCAGGACCATTGTGAGACCATATGCTGCTGCAATGGGCCCTGGGTTCCTTCTTATGCATGACAATGCTGTCCTCATGTAGCTGAAGTGTTCAGCAGTTCCTGCTTGAGTAAGTTGATGTTATGAACTGGCCTGCCCATTCCCCAGACCTGAATCCGATTCAGGTCTGGGAAATCGGATTTGACAGAAACATCAGTTGCCACGTCGCACCACAGACTGTTCAGTGGGTGTTCAGCTAACTGATGCTCTAATTGAGGTCTGGGAAGAAATCCCTCAGGAGAACATCCACCATCTCAATCAGGAGCATGCCCAGACGTTGCTGGGAGGTTTTACAGACATGTGGAGACCATACACACGATTAAGTGTCATTTAGACATGTCTTGAGAAATATTCACTGACACTGCATCAACCTGTCATGTTATTTTCCACTTTCATATTGAGTCTGAATCCAGGTGTAACAATTCTGATTTAAAATAATTTGTGTTCTTATTTCCACTGTTAATTTTTTTCAATGAGAATATTTAATTGAAATCTAGAGTGTTACTTTAGTTTCCCCTTTAATTCTGAGTGCATTTTTATGAAGTTATGGTGACAAAATCTCTTTATGTTGAATTTACAAGACCTTGAGCTCAAAAACTAAGTTTTATTTCCATTGTCACATCTAGAGGTAATAGAGCTAATGTTTGTTTTTGTTCGTTATTCTGAAAAATTACACAGTTTAGAAATCTTTCCTCTAGCAAATAAAAAAAACAAAACTTTAATCTTAACAAAATAAAGTAATAAGAGTATGTCTGATTTGTCTCTTGCCTTTGTTTCCATAATAACTTTCATGTAGGGAATGCTGCAGCATTAAATTTTTGTGAAAAGTGATTGGGGAAAAAAACAGAGTCTAAGATGATAATACCTCATTCATTTATTTGTTTTTAAACATAAGAAAGAATGGACTGCTCCAAGGTAAGAAAAATAACACAGCAATTTAAAATCAAGTGCACTTCAACATCATCCAACTTTTTAAGGGTTCACCCCTTCTCCAGCTGCTTGAAGTGAAATACACAAACTGAAAAACGTATCCCAAATCAGTCATTACTGTAAGGCTATGGGTGGTGATGCTTCTGTTGAGACGTCAGCAATGACAAAGACCCATTTACAGACAATCCAACATCACAACAAAGACCTTTTGCAGAATCTCTACATGAACAGAAATGTAACGAGACAAGAAGTGGACCGCATAATAGACTCCAGAAGAGTTGGGCAGTGGGCTCATTTGTGCTAAAACGCCTTCTTTAAGCCACTTATCAGAATGAAGGCGAGAAAATGACGACGGATGGAGTGTCACCTGGGCCAAGCAGTATTTGTAAGTAATTTCCAGCATGTGTTTGGAAGTCCTCAAGAGCACCATAGGGTAGAGATTATTACATCTTGGACAATTTAGAGGAGTTAAAGCAGACGACTTTCCATGCCGTGAGATATCAATTGACTATCATCTCAGCTTTTTATGGCCGGCAGATGGCTGACTTACACCGCATGGGATTGCAAAATTAAGAGAAAATCACAGGAAATTACTTATAAGTCGATTTATGTACTTTTCTGTGATAATAAACACAACTACCTGGCTACTCTTGATTGATTTAACAAGCCTCTTCTGCAAAGCAAATGAGTTACAATTACAGTCTGGCCCAGCTTTGACTACCATTATTCATGTAGGTGACTCATCCAAAAGCAACACAGATAATGACGAAGGATATTTAACAGAATGGTTGAAGAAGTACGTCACAATAATAGTGTGTACAAAAAAGCAGTACATATGAGTTAAACCGCCAAAGAACTTACAACCAAATGTCAATAACTTCACAAGCTTTTAAAAAAAACATCAGTTTTAACTTATTACATTCAAACACTGTCCAATCTTTACACTGTAACAGGCCTGTTATGAGGATAAAATGCAGCAATTTACAATTGCCTTGTGTATATTCAGCATATATAATATTTAAAAATGGCATTTCACATTCTTTATAATACATTGTGTGATCCACAAAATAATGCTGGCATTGTGTAAACAAATGTATGGAATATGCTGAATGTAGGAAAAAGAGGCAAACGTATGTGAAAATATGATCAGAAACTACTGTAATATGTGCAAACAAATATACGGGCTGAACAGCAGACGGCAGTGTTTCTCTATTTCTCAATGCATTAAGAACCAACAATGAAGATACGTGTGTGTGTGTTTTCTTATATTTTGTCACGGATCCAGACATGGGCTGGCTTCCAGTTTCTAATTATTTTTTAAAGAAAAGCAGTGGTTCAATTTTTTTTCTTTTACATATTAGTAATGTTTCACTGCTATTATAGCTTCAAAGTTCACTGACAGCAGTAGAATGACAGACAATAGTGTTGAACTTCCTCTTGCTTGCTGCTGAAAGGAGTCAGTCAGCTGTGTACAGGGGGAATTTTCAAAAACTTTCTTTTCCTACAAGGTGTACAGACACCTTGCAAAACAAATACGATAAAGCAAGCGGTGTGAAAATATATCTTGTAGGAAAAAAAAAACAAAGTTATTTGGGTAAGGTTCGCCTCCCCACACTTGTTACTTCAAGCAGCTAGTAAGATGTGTTGGATGCCTGAAGGTGGAAACTTTATACTTCCAAACAAGTGAGTTTCCTGTAAGACAGGAAATTTCTAAGGTAAAAAAAAAAATGGCAGACAGACTGGAGTGCCACTTATCACTTTTTAACAGTACCATTTAAATCAAACAATGTCTGACAGGTGATTTCTACTGGTGAAATAAACAACCCACTTCATACAAGCTGCCTGCTGTGGCAGATAATAATAAAAAGCTAACACCATTTTGATAGGCTATAAACACTTCTTACAAGTCATATTTAGGAACAAAGCAATTCAGTTTAGCAATCAATGTATTCGTAGTTTGTTTAGGTCTCCCAGCATCTTGAACATTTAATTGAAGTAACGACATCTCTCCAAATCCTAATACCAGCCCATGTCTAGTCACAGGGAAGCTTTTTCATTTTGCTGGTGTCAGAAAAGGTTTGCAGGTGTCAAACTCCAGTACTCAGGGAGGCAGTATCTGGCAGCTTTTAGATGCATCTCTGCCTGAACTGAATATTTAGGTTCTTACCAGGACTTTGTTGCATTATACTAAATACTGACTTAACAATGCATTCGTTTGATTAAGGTGTACAGGCCAGGAAGACATGCAAAAGCTTCAGGAGACCGGCCTTTGCGGACTACACTTTGACAACGCTGGTTTGTTAAATAAAAGACTGAAATTTGTTTTTGAAACTTGACCTGTTTGTAAGCAACAGATCACTGCAAGCAGTTGATTATAATTGTTTAATTGTTTAAAGAGTTGCAACAATCAGTGAAATGTCTTTCATTTTGTGTACAGTACTCCCAAATACTTAGGAATACAGCTAGAAATGCATGCGAGTTTCTTCAAAAGATTTTTGTGCAGTACAGTGGGTGCTCTGCATTTTGGATGATGATGTAGGCTCCACTGATGGTGTGAAATTTATGACCAAGTCATGGAAAATAAACCATGCAGTGAGAAATTTGACTTTAAAACTTGACTCCTGGCTATTTAACAACAGAAGGAAGCATATGTGAGGGGGGAAAAAATCTAATGAGCAGCTTTAAAGATCAACTCTGACATTTTCACACAACTAAATATGAAATAGGTCAGAGTTGAGTGGAATGACTTGTACATATACCGGGATGGAAAAACAGTAAAACTGCACTTGTTCTCATTCAACAAAGTCTGAACTCGTGTTTAACTCCCTGTGAGAATATTATCTTATCTGGCTTTTCCTCATTGCCAATAATGAGTCAGAGTTCACAGCAGGTCTGGGCATGTCAGTCAATGTTTGGAAGTCGAAATATTGTTTTTTTTTTTTTTTTTTTATGACATGAGGCTTGTAAAATGACCTTTCTGTAGTTGTGCGCATTGAGGGGGGGCTATACACAAAGTGCAAAGCAAAGTATTCACATCTCTTAAACTTGTTCACATGACATTTTGTCATGTTACAGAGCCAAACTTCAGTGTATTTTCTGTGATACCCACACAAACGGTACACTACTTTAACGTGAAAGGAAAAAGAACAAAACAGTAAAAATACTCTAAATACAACCTCGACAAAAAGTAGATTTTGCACTTCTTGAGTAAGGTTTCATAAGAAGATGATGTAATCGTCATTTTCTTATGAACCAAATGTGTTTGACATTTCAAACACATTTGACAGACACATGAATACAAGTCATACCTAAAGTTTTTAACACAGAGAAGATTTAGAGATAAAATATTCAAATATATTTGTCCAATTAATCAAATTGTAAAAATATATTTATATATAAACGCTGTTTAATGTATGCACAAGCCAAAATGCTGCCACGCAAGTTTGGGATGTGTTCTGTCTTAGTTAAAGTAGCTCTCTAGCATACTGTACTCCTCTGTATTCTGGTCACTTATGAAGACAGTATAAACAAAGCAGTTTACAGAAACTCAAAGTGGTATACAATGATGGAATGAGGATGCTGCTTTGGATGACGAGATGGACTAGTGCTAGTCAGTTATTTGATGGTGTTGGTGTCTCCACTTTTCTTATGAAACCTTATGTACAGGTTTATGTGGAGATTACGTGTTTCTACAAACAACATCATCAAGATACTAACAGATATTTCACACAGCTCAGTCATGTTTAAGTCCAGAATGTGGAATCACTGGCAGTTTAACCTTTCTGTAAATCACTGACTTGTATATGTGATTATTATCTTTTTTTATGTGATCGTTTCTTTTTTAAATGTTCTTAAATTATCTTTCTAAGGACCCATTTGTGTCTTTAATAAAGCTGCTGATGATGAAATGCTCTCATTCTTGAATTTTCATATAAACTGAATAAATAAAGACAGAATACACAACAAGAGGATGAGCCATCTAGTGGTCAAGTTTCTAAATAGTTAAGATTTTTAAGTCCTGTGCACCTGCCGTTTGCAAAGTGAAATAAAAGTCATTCATACAGACAACAGATGGTTACACCATCTGTTTCTGTGTCACTAGAGGGCGACAGTTATGTGAGAATATCAGCAGGACTGAACAGATGCTTTGTTTTTTAACTAAAGGTCATCTTATGCAAAAATGTCCCATAATTATTTTTTTTCATATATTGTAACTTAAGACTTTGTTGAATTTAAGACAGATACATAATTGAAAAAGCTGCTCTGTGTCAAATAATCTAGTGACATTACAGTTTATACTTTTTTGAAGGGAGTTTGTGTGGATTGAATTTTTTCAACAGTGAACAACCTTCAAGTTGTAATTTTTTTATTTCTTCGTATTTGTAATAAGCACAAACTATGAGAGAAAATGTGGTGAAATGGCACAAAAAATACTTTGTTCTGCTTATGTATAAAAACTACCATTTAAATGGGTGATTGCCATTAGTGCATTCTTGTGTGTGATGGTACACCTGCTGATAATTAGTATGCATGTGGCTGTAATTCATGAAGAAACTCCATGGTGATAAACAAGAAAAATATATGAGAGATGCAGCAGTAAAACTTGTCTTGGCCAATGTCTAATATGATTTTTCCCAATCTAAGTACGAGAACACAGAGAAAAGAAAAAAATGTTTCAGGTGCTTTAATAAAACAACAAGAATACTTCTATTACTGTGACAAACCATGTTCCTAATCGTTCCAGGGTTCTTAGAAATTTTACTGTTTGAAATAATTTTTTCTTCTAAGTATTATAAACTCTAAATATTAGAGTACAACATATTCAAACCGTAAACAGAAAATTTAACAAATTTCCCCCATAATCTTTGGCCAACTGATTGCATCTCTAAACAAAATGGAAAGTGCCTTAATTAAAATAAAGTGGTTAAAATATCACATTTATACAGCACTTGACATGCATATCTGTATATTAATGAACATGTAGTTTTGTTGTTAAAACAGTGACAATGGCAGAAGGACCCATATACAAATATAGCATGATATTAAAGAACATAATGACAATACCTACAAGTTATAGACACATTGCTTGTACATTCATATATGTCAACACTTAAATATGTATATACAGTATACATATATATATTCAGATGTATACAGATATATTGAGAGAGTAATTAATAGTGGCATTAATGAGGTGAAAAAGTCATTTTAATATTTGTCCCGCCAGAGTTTTATATAATCTGAATTACTGGACACAGACTTTCATACTGAAGCGAGATTTTTCTCTACATATTTCACTGTAATCTATGGTATATATCATCCTTTCCTGGACAAAATAATTTACACTTTTGTCTACTAATGCTGTAAATGCAAAGTCATTTGCAAAGAATTATAGAACTGAGGTTGTTTCCTAACGAGTACTGCTGAATTAGTCATTCTAAATATGATTACATTCTATATATCTGATAGGGTATTGACATATATTGCAATGCTTTAGTGCATACAAACAAAGGAAGTGTGTGTTTGTGTGTGCATGTGTGGCACACATTTGAAGGTGTGGGTGTGTTGTGATAAACGGTGTTGATGAAAAAGTGGCATATGATAGTGGTTGAAGGGCTGTGTCGGGGAACTGGCAGTGGATTTACTCTGTTGTGATGACAGAAACTCTCTCGATTGAAGGCCAATGGCATCCTTCCCAGCTGATACGTTTGACACTGAAAGGCCTCTAGATTCAGATTGGCTTTTTGAACCTCCCTTATGACAGCATATTGGGCCTCGCACTGTGAAAAATAAAGCTTATAATCTCCTCTTTTATTGACAAACCTTGATTTAAGATTAATTTAATCTGGTATTTTGATAAAGCATACAGATTCAACATTGTTAAATCATTGAAGCAATGTGAAAAATACTGGAGAAGTCTGCTTTCCGTTGACGTAATCTTAGTGATACTAAAAGAGAAAATCTTGTCTGTTTTTGCCTCCACTCACAAAGACGCAAACAGCAACGCAAACCTTGGTTCAAACGGGTTCATCAACTGGACAATAAACCTAAGTAGCAGAAAAATTAAAACAGAATGGTTGATGAGCAAATTAATCAGGGTTTAGACCGTGGCAGTTTCATCCTGGTAGTTTACTTAAAGGAGGGAACAAAACTCTAAAACCTGATTGTGCAACATCTTAAGAAGCGAAAGGAAAAAAATTATAATGAACTGTAAACTTTCCCTTTCAATAAACTATGCTTTCACTTTACTTCAGTACAACAAGAATTTGTAGAGAAGAAAATTTCCCTCCATTGAAGACAGATCATTCTACTGTGATTTCAAATTTATTACAGAGATTTTACACAAAACTAAAAATGTAAACCTTTAACTGGCTTATAATACTGCAGAGAGCTTGGAGATTACTTTATCTGCCTTTGCAATCAAAAGGCTGGCCACATAAAAAGTAATGTCACGTTGTATATCTGAGAATATTTTTCAACTGGAGAATATTAATTTCGTCACATAGAAATTAATCAAATTAAAATTGATTAAAGTATAATTGAAATAGATATTGCCTTTCAACCTTTTTACCATGGAGACCTCACAATCCAACTAAAAAGAATATCTGTCATACTCACAAACACAACTGTAACGTGAGTAACACGCACAGCTCATTATTTTTAATTATCTCAACCCTTCCTGGTTCTCGTTGGATAAACACTTTCACTGCCAATGTTGTCAAGCTAGAGGCCAAAACTGAAACGCTACAGCCAAAGTTTGGATGCATTTGAGAGTGAGAAAGTGGATTTCATTGTTTTGCTTTTTTTGTGCATGAAACATCTGCCACAAAGCAGCAGAAGGAAGATAAAGTATTTTAAGAATTAAGTTTGGGCGTCTTTATTTCTGTTGTAGTTTCTATGGAATGTTTGGGATTATTCTTCCTGCACTCTTTGTCCATGGTCACACATTTTTATTAATAAGGAATTTTATTATTCCTTTTGAAATTTACTTCTGTTCACAGAGACATCACTGACATTCCGGCAGTGGAAAACTATGGAATGATTGTGCTATAATCTGTTAAATACAAATATGTAAGGGTGTTTTATAAATCAGGGTAAGGTGTTTGTCTTGTTAACTTGTGGGAATTAAACAAATGCCTCAGGAAGGTAAGTTTGTAACTATATAAATTTAGAGCAAAGATTTGCAGAAAAATCTGCCTGAAAGTGAAGTGTGGACTAATAAAAAGGAGCATGGGAAATGAAACTGTTTGTGCACATATGAAGGACAGGTATTTACACAATAAATGCATGTTTGTACCCCTGATATGTTAGACGGGTGCTGGTTTGGTTAGGGTGCGATCTGCCTGGCAGGAAGAGACCGGTCCTACACACATCTCTCCTGTTTTCATTTGGTCTTCGTTTTGCCCGCCTCTCCGTTCAGCTTACCCTCCTTCACCAGCTTCTGATTAAGTTGGCACAGCTGGAGAAGGAAGCCATCGTTAGGGCCGATCTCTCTCTTCTGTCTCACGGTGGCGAGAGCTGTCCGGGCGTCCATTTTGTGGCGCATCATAAGGTAAGCAACAACCATGGTCGGGGAGCGGCTGTAGCCTTCTCTGCAGTGCACATACACCTTCCCTATAAGATCAACGTCAAAACAGTGAAGAGCACTCATTTAAGGCAGGTGTCACTGCAAACATTTTTTAAATATTACAATTGTTTGAAAGCATTTAAATAATATATTTTTAAAAATGGATAAAATGTTGATGCACTTTAATTTCAACTTAAAGTTTAGTAAATTGTTGATAGAGTCGAACTTGCTTATTGGAGTTCAGTAATTGTGGATTTTTAATTTTCACGGAATAATAATCCCATATTATTCCGTGAAAATTTTACTTTTTGCTCATTTTTCTTTTAGCATTTCTAACAAGGGCTAATTAAAGTAGAAATTGAATGATTAATATCTCTGGTCATTTGATTGACACCTCTCTAAAACATATGTAAGTAGAGCAAGAACGTCTTCCATTGTGCATATATTTTTCCAATAAACAAATTTATCTGTAAAACAATACTTCTATGATCAGACAATACAAAATCTAACAGTAAAAAGAACCAGTTTGAATGTTTTAAGCAAAACTGATGGAGAAAAGTAGCAAGGTGAAGAAAACTGGGAGCAAACACAGATGATAAATTAATAAAGAAAAAGAAAAGTTGGGGGACAGATGCTGCGACTAAAGCTGCTGAGCACAGCAACTTTTCTGCCAGGAGATGCAAATACAAGACCAAACCTCTGCTGCAGAAATCAGTCACACCCGAGCAAAGCCACATGTAGACTGGGTAAACTTGTCTGTATCTGTATCTGGTATATATACTGTACTGCTTGTTATATCCAAAGATAAATCGTTGTTCCACTGTGCTCACAGGGTGGCTGAAAACCCCATGAGCGATTTAACAAAGTAGCTGATATACTGGTCTCAGGTCAGATCTGCAGATTCTGCACTTCCTTTGAAAACCCAACCCCTCTGTGTCCTTGTAGTTTATTCTATTTATAACACCTCATTTCCTTCCCTCTCTTCCTTTGTATTGACTGAGAAAATCCTTCCAATGACATGACCTCTTCTGCTCCTAATATTCCTGCCAACCGTGGATCAATGTTGAATCTGAATCATCCTGTTAGAGATGCGAGATCTTTGGCTCATACCTTCAGTCATTATCTCACCCCATCCGGAGTCAGAACAGACAGTTTCACTGCTTTCTCTCCTAGTTTGTTTCATTTGATTGAAATCAGCTACAGCCAAATTACATACCTTAATCAGGCAATGCCTGATTATGGATATGGTTGCACAGTAATTTAAAAGAAAATCACGGAAATGCAAAATCACTGTTGAACAGTGATATTCACATTTTCCTTAATCATCATTCTCATCTGTCAATAACAGGCATACATCATTCTGTGACCTTTCGTATTCTAACCTTTGGCATCTGTCAAGTATGAGCATGTATTGCAGTGAGACAGCGCCCAACACTGTGAAAATTAGACCAACCAAAAAAAGGTTTGTTAAAAATGTGATTATTCAAAACCAAAATATTTGTATTTTAAAACCGTCTTTTTGAAAATATACCCTGAAACATATATTTCAGGGTATAAATGTTATAAAAAAATATGACATTTCCTTTAAGACTGGATGAAAAACATCCAGTCTTAAAGGAAATGTTATATATTTTTTTTATCATGATTAATCCTTCTTTCAAGATAGCATGGTTGCATATTGAATCTGTTGAATTGTTTTTCTTGCTTAATTAAAAAAAAAAAAAAAAAAAAAAAAAGAATTGCCTCATGAGCATTTTAGCAAAACGACTCAAACTATTGCCTCATTTTTTACCCTATTTTATTAAGAATGCATGAGTGCAGGTCCTCATTAAAATCTTGACCATGACCTTTTTGGAGCTGAGAGCTATAAAATGTCACAGCTAATGTTGTGCAGAACACGTCATCCCACTGCAGCAAAAGCACACACATAACAGAGCTCCAAGACCATCCTGGACTGCTCATCTATCCTTTCTTTGCCACTGTAGCGCTTTATAGTTATTTATCTGATTTATACTGTGCTCTACAGGTTTTGTCAAAAACTGTCTGCTAATTAAGATGCCCTCCTGTGTTACACCTAGCAGTAAAATTATGCCATAAAATCCAGGGTTCAGCACACTAATAATAAGTGTTGACTACATTTTCTTTAAACTCTAAAAGAGCTGATGAGAATTTTCAGGTGGAGGATGGTTATGTCCTCATGGGATTGAATGTTTCCTCTGCTTTGCTCTCTGAAACTCTTTGTTACTGTACAGAACACCTGACCTGGCAGCAGCATCAAATTCCACACTCAGCTCCCTGGCGGTTTCTACTGTTTTGTTCCTTTAAACAAACTAAAAATGCTAGAGATTCTGTTTAAAAACAGGATCCACAAGATCCAGTGGTGTAATACGTAAAACGTTTTGACAATGTTGACAACCAGGGACATGATCTGACACCAGAATATGGAGCAGGACTCGGGAGAGTTTCGGATTTAGCTTCATGATTATCTTCTGTCCTCACTTCAAGAGACAGAACCGAGATTTCCCCCAGAAAACTTGCTAAGTCCAATGGTAACAGTGCTAGTGCAGTCCACCAGCAGCTCTTTTAGTTTTTGTGTTAAACATTTTTAAAAGTTGATAGATAATTTGACTAGGTAATGATCTATTATTGAAAGACGTTATTGACAATACATAAACACCAAATGTTGAGTTTTAAAGAAGACAAATACCCAAAAAAGGAATTTATATATAACATTTTGAAAATCCTACTTAAGTAGTCAGTTGATAAAATAAGAAATATAATGCTGGTCACATTTAAACAAAGTAAATTAAAATAAATATTACCTCAGACAATGATGAGTAAGGATATCTGAGTGCTTTACTAAATATTCTCATTCTTAAATATTCTACAAAACTTACTATTTATTGTAGTAACTTTTCTTGTGTCTTCCTAAATCCTTCCGTTTTGTATAGTAAAGTGTTTTGCATTGCTAGTTGTGAATGACTATTATTTATCTAAGAAAATGCAGTATTTGCAAGGAATACTTTGGACCACAACCCTGTCTGCGATTGGCTGGTGGTGTGGTTGATTTAAATACACTTTATCAAGCATGTGCCAGAACATGTATTGAGTGAGAGTGTGAGATGTAAATGCACATGCCACATATTCTTTGTTCACAAAGTTATTTGTGCTCACATCAGTCTTTTGGTGCACTCAATGCAAACCTCTAAATCCTGACTACAACTCAGGATTACAGCCATGCTTTTAGGGGTTTACATTCAAGCTTTTATATTTGATGTGTACCTTGGTGCAGTATTCTAATAAAAGACAGCCATCCAAGTGGAATTATATAAAACGTACAGCTGACGGTGCTCTGCAAGAGCACCTTCCAAATGGACCATTTTGAGTGAACTTGTCATGATGCATGCCAAGTTCAATGCAGCAAATACAGATCTGACTTAACCTGTCTTTGCAATACCTGTTACTGGTGTATAAAAAATAAAAACATACTCATAATAAATAAACAGTGGTTAGCTTGGCAGGGATGGGGCAAGTAAAGCCTGGCAACAAGCCATGCTTATAATACACTGGGGGAAACCCTGCATTACAATGACTGAATCATTAAAGCACCATTTAATCATTAAATCATGTTTCTTCTATTCAACAAGCAGCTAAAGGAGTTTGTGTCTCAGTTATAGTCCATTTATTTTGCAGACCACCAGTCTCTGGTTAAGAAGACTGGTTAGCTCATTGGTTGTGGGGTTGATACAGAAATGAGACATCTTCCAGATCTCAGTCAGAGATTGAGTTAGACTTTCCATAATTTTGACTGACAGCTTTTAAAAAAAAAAAAAAAAAAGGGGGGGGGGGTTATTTTACCCATCAGTTTTTTTAATGATTGGTTGTCTCTGACCAGGAACGATTTATTTCTGCAATTTAATCCAATACAACTTTAAAAATACTTTATTGATCCCAAAAGGCTGGGATGGACTGGTGGTCTGTCCAGGGTGTACATTGCCTCTCGCCAGTTGATTAGGCATCAGCACCCATGCAACCCCACTATCAATAAGTGTGCATGACTATGGATGGATAGATGGATGATACCAAAGGAAAATGGTATTAAACAAATGGTCAAATGGAGCCGGAGAAACAAATTTTTTTGGCATATTATAGCGTCAACGCATTGACAGTTTTACCATATTTGTAAAAATGTTTTTCTAAAAGTTACCTACTGCAGCTTAAAGCTACTAAAATGTAAGAATATCAAAAAGTAGCTCTTTAAAATATATTTTTTTAATTATGTATTTAAACAGATGAGCCCCACTAAACAACAGTAACATTCTAACCTTTGCCATTATGGTGTGCTAGTCCTCTGTCTATAAAATCAGCCCCCTCCTCAAAGAAGGCACTAAGGTTGAAGCCCTTTGTGTCGTTGGCTGGAATGCCATGGTACGTGATCCCAGTGCCGGCGTACATCTCTGGACTGGTGTTGACGTGCATGAAGGAGGTGCCCTCTGCCATGTTGAGGACATGTGTCACACCAAGTTTCTGCAGTCGCATGGGGTTGTGGGCCACAAACCTAAGAAAGTAAGAACGAAGATTCAAAGAGCAGAAATATAGAGTGCAGATCAGTTATCTAGCAGGTTGCCATAAGCTTTGGGATGTTAACTCCTATAAAGTATGTCTAAAGCTTTTGTCAAGGTTTGTCCAAGGCCTCAGGAACTGCTTGATATGATACATCATTGGTGAATAATACACACAATAGGAATATGCATGATTGAAATCCTTGTGCTTCATTTAAGAAATTATTTCCCACGTTCTCAGAAACATAGTTATCTTTATAAACTTAGATTTGTTTTGAGGCGTAAAAGCCATGCAGGATCAAACATGTATCCCAAATAGAACTTTTGCACAGAATGGTGTCTTGTTTTTCCACTTTTCATGCTTACGAGGATCTTTAACTTATAGTTCAATGTGGGACCAGAGAGTTTGTGAAATAAAATAGGTCTTGAAATAAGAATTATTTTCTCCCCACTGAATATGAGATATAATATAATACTGCTACTCTGGAAAATTATTTTATTATAAAGGAATTTAACACAGTTTCACCAGGGATCCCTAACTGTACTGCTTGTTGTTCAAAAAGTTTTAGAATTTGGAAAAACAATATTATGTTTCATACAAACATTTTTATCAACATAAATCATTTTTAAAAAGTGCATTTTCAGCAGCAAATGAGAATGAGAAAAGCAGGATAGCAAAATTTTGCAGCATATTGATTCCAAGAAACTGAAACAAAACAAGAAACCTAATCTCTTCAACCCATAGAGCCAATTTCACTACAACAGCTTTATTCTTACTTCATGCCCTCCATTTCCACGACACAATAAAGCTATTCCTGCTCCAACTCCAGTGCTAATAAATGCTGCCTTTACAAACAGCAACACTGCATATCAGATCTATACAGCTAACAGGCCACAACAAAGCCATACAGAATGGTTGCTGCTCAGGTCTGTCTGGCCCTATGCCTGAAACCACTTTACTCTCCAAACTGCCTGAGAGCACTGTCCATTGATTGTGAATAAAATGTCTCACTGTGTATAAAAGACCAAGTTATGTCAAGGTTTTATATGGAGCATTCAGCATCACTAATTGTAATAATTTATATTTTAAACAGGAAAAATAGACAGAAATTGTTGCTACATAAAGAAAAAGTAAGTGCCTTGTAAAAGTATGGATAGCCCTTGAAACTTTCCAGATTTTGTTAAATCACAATTTTTTATGCATTTGTATTGTCCTTGAAGAACCTATATTTGCCACAGCTTTATGTCTCTTGGGGCCTCTATAAGCTTTACACATCAAGAAACATAAAGTTTTTCCCAATTCATTGTTGAGCTCAGACAATTCAGATTGGGTTAGGTGCATCAACCTAAAGGTGTCCAAATACAAATGCGTGCTTGGCTCATGGTAGTGGTAGCATCATCATGATGTGAGGAAGCTTTTTGGTAAGGACAGAGAGGTTGATCAGAGCTGATGGCAAGATTTTGATAAATTTAGTGCAAAATCTCATGAAAACACTTCAGAAACTTCATCTGGTAGAGAAAAAAAAATTGCAACTTTAATTTCAACAAAAGATTGTTCAACTAAATTGTACTGCTCGGGAGTGTGGCCAGAATAATGATAATAAAAAAATAGGTCTGCATTTGTTTTTATTTAAAAGATGGTACAACCTTTTCCTTCAATGTTAAAATAATGTGCCACTTTGTGCTTTCCTGTCACATGATGTCCTGAGAAATACAATGAAGACTGTGGTTGTACTGTCACAAAAAACATGGCAATGTAAAACAAAAACATTCAATAAAACACAAAAAATAAGGTTATTACTGCTATTATATTTAGATTGTTTAAGGTTCTGATGGAATTATGTAGCAGTAAATCCTATAGAAAAGACACGACTTCAGTCATCAACCTTCATGAGTCCGGGGTGTTTGCTTTGACAGCTTTGTGTGTTTTTACTGCTATTTGTGCTTAAAGTCGATATCAGGCTGGTGAGATGTGGCTGGTTGGCCCCAAGCAGCTCCCTTAAGACAGTGACAACGAAGTACCCTGTTCACACACACACACCTGCACACTCGAGGAACTAATAAAAAAATCCTGGAATAAAGCAGCCCATCTCCCTACGTGTCAAATGAAGGGCAATGATGAAGAAAAGCAAACGCAGCATACAGCTCCTTTAGTTCCATTCAAAATAAATAATAATAACAATAGTAGTAATAATAACACTTTTGTGAGAAAGGCTGGACTTCATAAATGATTCAACAAATGCTTACAGTATGAGCACTTAGATGAAGCAGGAAGAAAATGCATTATATGTCGTAAAGTGTTACTACCGACTAAATGCAGAGGTGAACACGGTTCAGCCAGGTTCAGATCCAATGCTTTCCTTTCTGCTCGAGTCACAGCCTCCTCACCCTGGGATCTGCAGTCCCAACGCATCCATTATTAAAGAGCAGCTTTACAACTAACCAGTAAACAACCACACCTTTATTTTGTCCCCAAGCCATGCACTGTGGTGTCAAGAGTGCTGACTGCTACTGAACTGAACAACAGCACAGGTCTGCAAAGTACAATCATAATCCATTTATGAACAGGAACTTTTCTCAGAACACTTGACTAAACAAGTACAGTTTAAGTTGTTGTCTCATGCACTGATAAAATTGGGATTGGAGTGAAGTGGGAAACCCTATTGTAATTTTATATATATTATTTTTGTTCGCCAGGGAGATATGTTGAACAGAAGAAGCAGACAACACTGAAAAAAATCTGAGAAGGCAGTTTGTATCAAAGTAGGTTTTTCTACCAAAGATTAATTTCCCTTCCCCAAACTTAAATGACTCCTCTGCAGGGACCTGTACTAGTAGAAAAATGCATTTCAAGTATAAACATCAAAATATAGGGAAATGTGTCTAATTTATTAGCATTTGTGGACACAGATTTGCATTACACATATATATGCTACACATTCACTCTTCCTTAAGATTGTCCTCTAGTCTCAGGACAAGCAAAACTGTCCCAATGTATCCAGATCACTCGGATCCCTTTTGAGCACTAAAATGTCCCTGTTCCTTTTTAAAATAGCTATTTTTGGTGTGCCACATGTGAAACTAGTTATCTGCAGACAGAGAGGACTGAGATTTTTATGAAAAAACTAGTTTAATAAGTAATAATTTTATGTGTAAATTGAGCAAAACCGGTTCCTTGAATGCCACCAAACTACCAAAAGAACACTCATGTATCTGTACTTCAAGAACATTCTAATGAATATCTACAAGTTGAATTACATGTTCACCACAACAAAGCCGTGGATAAACAGTTTTTCCTGGAACGGTAAATTGTTTCTCCACCATTAGCACATTGAGCAGCGCGTACACAAGAGTGACTGACGACACGAAGACCTTCATCTGATTGGTTGTTTTTGACCAGGAACAGTGCATTTCAGTCACCAGAATATGTTGATAGTTTTAACAAATATGAAAAAAAAAACATATTTTTGTGAATGTTACATTTGGCAGTTTTTTGCAAACTACAATTAGTTAGCAAAAAAATTAGAATAGAGGAGCTTGGCTACTACAAAACCGGATGACGTCACCAGCTTCAGGCAGGAAGAAAAGCAGTGTTTTTCCAAAATTTTTATGAACCCAACAATTTTATTTTTTATTTTTTTAATGGTTAAAGATATTAAAATGACCAATAATGTAGAATAGCCCCACATATGATGTTTCTTGCCTAACGAATAGCCTAATCACCAAAAGGCGATTAGTTTGAAAGTTTACCCCATTCAATTATGTGTAAAAAGTTTTTGAAAGAGTGAAAGATTTTGAAAAGGAAAATGTTACAGTCATTGTGCACATCTGCTGACTGAGATTAATGCTGAGAGTACTCCAGATAAAAAGTGTGACTGCTTTGTAGCATTGAGACAATATAATAACTCACTGACTTTCTTCCTGTGTGTTGGCTTTGAAGAGCAATAAACACAAAAGAACTCTTCTTCATAATCATGGAACAAAACTTCTCCATCAGACAAAACATCTCCATTCTGAAAGGAAATGATGAAGTTGAAAGTACAAAGTGCCTCTCAGGCCTGATGAGCTTCCACTGAGCACAGGACTGCCAGCACTTTGCTCTGAGACATGCAGACAGTCATATTCATATTGATTTTAGTGAAGCACTGAGATCCAGGAATATGACATACATCCTGTCCCATTGACCTCACCTCCAACTCTGTGCTGTTAGCACTTTGCAGGTTGCAGAGAAACAAAATGCAAATGGATGCAAACCTGTTCAGTTACAACAAACCATATCCTAACATGTAACTAACCCCTAGATCAACGTTTATCTTTAATAAACTGTTTGAATAGATCATTTAGAGTGCCATCTTATGTTTGTGTGAATTTGACATTTTTATGTAAGTTTAATTAATTCCACATTATTTTACCTTAGCCATCTCAATGTTTATCTCTGCTTGAACAGTGATTCAGCAGCTGGATACTGTTTTGTTCAAAACAGCTCTACTCCACCTTTTGAAGTTATAAGGAAATATTTCATCTCTGATTATGACGCCTTTAGTTTAAGTTTTGTTTTTTTGTTGTTGTTTTTTGTGTGTGTGTGTTGTTTTTATCTGCTAGATGCAGATTCCAGTTGGACAGGGAAGGGAGCGGCTTATTGAAGACGCGATTTCACGGCAGTGACATTGGAGGGAGATCATGATGTCTTGAAATTCAGTTTCTCTGCTTCCAATTTTGGCTCTGTGCCTCTATTACCAAATTTTGTATCAATACATTTGTGGACCTTTGACTGTTGTTGTTCCTCTCTGGTCTTGCGGATCATCTCGCTGCTTTGTTTGGAGAACAGCTGCTTGCTGCCGCTGACACCGACAGCCTGTCGCTTCTTCTCTGCATTCACAGAACAAAACAGGAAGCCCGCCCAGCGTGCGTGATGCCCAGCATGCGACACTCTTGTCATGGTCACGTTTGATTAATACTAAATATCAGTCCACAGGACTGCCACTGTAGCTCGTCTACAAAGAGTACTCACGCGTTCCCGATGTAAATCCTGGGGAAGACCTCATTGAAGTGCTGGGTGGGGAGGTTGTAGAAGCCGCTGCCGTCGGAGAGGAGCTCGTTGAGCTCGTTTACGGTCAACTCGCCGCCAGCAGCCGGGATGTCTGTCGGTGGGGGCGGCGGCTGGTGGTGGTGGTCATGCTGCTGCTTCGTGGGGCTCAGGTGTTTTTTCATGGCTCGTTATTTGTCCCCCTTGTCGAACTGGTTTCAGATTCCAACCACCGCCTGACTAGTGAGACCGCCGCTGGTGTCCAACAGCATTTCTTTTATCTTCGCATGTTAGTCGCACGCGCTCTGCAAGGTGTCTCATCAGAGGTGCGCGAGCCCTTCGGTTTTCTCCCAACGGTGAAAAGAGTGGGGGAGTTTCCACACTTTGTTCCGGTCACCCTTTCAAAGTAAAAGGCGAAGCTCATTTCAAGAAACTTTTTATTTTTATTAACGTTTTTATTCGTGACATTGTTGTTTTCACATATTTTTATTTCATTTCATTTATCTCTGACAAAATCACAGTAAAACCACACTCTCTGTATTTGTATGATTTTTAAATATATTCCATGAAGGAAATCCTACGTATTTACATTGTTAATGTTTAATAATGAGAATTGATTAAATTTGAAATGCATTTTACATTTTCAATCTTAAAAGTGTTACAATAAACATCAAGCAATAATATAAAACAGTATCTAAAAACTGTAAAACAGTCAGGAAGACACACTAACTTTGAGTTCATTGTGATTTAATCAAGGGAATGCTGAAGAGGTTGTTAGTTTCCAAAATCATGTGTATTGAGCATTGTGTGATTTGTGGGTGTGTTTAGGTGACTATTAAAACAGTGTGAAGCTTGAATTTTTCAGAGCAGTGCTCAGAATGCATCTGAGGAACTATCCTTCTTTCTGCACCAAGCACAGCAAACCCTCGAGATTCAAAAGAACTGCTTAGCCGTCTTCATTAGAAGGTTTTTCATTTTGTGATCTAACCACAATGACTATTTTTAACTGCTTTAGGGATCCAGACTTCAAATGGATACAGCAATTCTTCAATTGGTCAGGTTTTGTTGTTCTCAACAGGTGCTACTTAACAAGAAAAGTTTTTACAAATTTTAAATTCCTTTACTCAGTTGCACATTTATTTAAATCCTCGTGTTACTGTATATTTTTTTAAGTTGCAAATTTGTTTTTGCTTTTATTTTTTATTACATTTCACCTTGTGTGAATCTGGAGGTTTATTTGCCTGTCACTTTGCAGCTTGTATACCTGAATTTTCCTCACTGGGGAACATTAAGAGCTACTTTGTTTTCTTAAAAATAAAGCTCCAGCAGCTGCACAAGATAAAATAATAATAATAATTCTTTTTTTATGTTGAAGAGATTTTTAAATAACTTCCTGTATGATATGTAGAGTTCAACAATAGCTTGACGAGTCTCCGCTTCACCCCTATCTCCAGCAGACACAGTCAGTGTCTCGCAGTCGCACTCTGAGGATGTTACTGAACTCAATGGTACTGAGCTCGTTGCAATTCCACCATTACACTTTTGGACTTTCCGTGGGCTTCTGATAGGAGCAAGAGTCCTGTGCTCTTATTCCCTTTTGCAAGTGATAGTTACGTGGACAATGACCACGTAAGTTATAATTCGTATCAGCTTGTAGATTTTATGCTTTGCTCATTCCTTTAACTGGTTGCCTCCTGTTTATTACCAGTGCATCTCGAAATATCAGGATATTGATAAAAAGTTACTAATAAAATCGTAAATAATCAATTACTTAAGGATCGAAACATGTCAAACGTCTATTATTTTTTTTAAATTAGAATGTGACATAAAAACAATAAAAATGACAAAAGTTGTAGCCTATTTGTGTTCTTGTCGACTGCTGATTTTTTTTTTCTTTCCCCAACAGACAGTCATCAGGACTCAACAGGATGTTCAGCATGCTGTATGCAAGCATGTTCTTGGAAAGTTGTATGGAAGGAAAACTTGTTGGAGAAAGAGTTGCACAGGCGACTGGTATAATTGCAGCCTTGCGAGGAATGCTGAGCCAAATCCATTCAAGAGTTTAGGACTTTCAATTAACTTCTTGACATTTATCACTATCCATGTAATGAATACATAAGTTTCATCTGTCTACCAAAGCAAACATGCTTTTTTTTATTGTAATATGATTTGTTGGACTGTGATATATTACAGATGTTGATGACTTCGAGGTTATTTGTAAAGGTAAGAAGGAGAAACTTAAATTCTCCATTTTTACAGAGGGTATAGGATAGTTACTGTTGTAACAAGTGGCACCACCAGGTGTCGCTCCTTCCTCAGTCTGAGCCTCCATAAAAGGGAAGCTGGAAAGGTGGCCAAGTGTTAATTTCCTGTGTGTGAGACCAGGTGTGTGTTGGGCCCACACGTTCCACTTTTTGCTGGCTGTGTTAGGGTTGAAGGAAACAAGTTTTAAATTGATCTTCTTAAATAAGTTTTGCTGATGTGGTGTTTTTATACAAGACTGTATTAATGACCTTCTGGTGGTAGTGTTACCTGGGCGTGTGGCTGTTCAACGTTGCAGGGTAGACTTATACATCTGTCTCTTTTAATCAAATTGAATTGTACGTTTTGGTTTTTTTATGTTTTTTTTTTTTGTTTGTTTTTTTTAGGGCTGCACCAGGTCTGCTACATCAAATTTGACCTTAGAGTGCTGCCTTATGCGATGCAGGTATGCAGTGTTTTCAATGTATTTTAAATTGACTCGATTAAAGTGATGTAATAAGCATTTAGTAATCTTTGTATTTTGGTTTTACGGTTTTATCACTGCTTCCTGATGTCTTTTTAGAGTTTGAATTTCTTCTTTGTTTGTCTCCCCCTAGTTTTTGTGACTGCTGCCTAACAATCTTCTGTTTATTTTCTTTGTTTTGTCCTCTGTTTGTCTTTGAGTCACTTCCTGAATACTCACATTTCATGCTGCTGTTAATCTTAAGAATCTGAGGCCCCGATCCTGTTTGGTGTTGTCTTGAGTTTGGGTTGCATGTGATCATTTTGCAATGAGTCGAGAGCATCTTAAGTTTGCAGTGAATACTGTAGTGGTTTATGTGGGTTTGTTTAAATTTGGGTTGAAACATTTTTGGATTGACAACGAATGGATGAAGTTAACAGGAAACCCTTTTATTTGTGTAACAATAAATATTGTTAATTGACTTCATTCTGGTTTTTGTTTATTGCCCTTTGGCTTGGTGGAGTCATAGTACTCTGATGACAAATACTTTACAAGCACCGGAACATTTTTTAAAATAATATTCCCGTTCTTATTATTCTATGGCTGCACACATGGATAGTCAAAATATTTTTTTCTTTTTCTTCTAATAATTGCACAAACAGCCACTAGATGGAGCCATTTTTTCATTAAATCAATCCCACGTAAACTAGTGTTAAGCTGCATAAAGTGACACTTTTTAAAAATGGTGGTCATGTCAGGGTAAAAGTCAGAGCAATTGTAAAGTTAAACAGAAGTCATGAATTAAATTCTGCTGCTGAGTGAGCAACACAGTCAGTTTATTATTTACACCATTTGCTGTTCCCGAATGTGACCTCTTGGTGGCGATCATGAATGATGCAGCAGGTTAATGAGTCCACATATATCCAGGAGCATTCAGCCGTGTTCAGTCAGTGACCATGAATGATGGATCTCTTCCAACTGAAATGACTTGATGGAAAACGTTTGTCAACAATTGATGTAGAAAATGTTTTCACCTGATCTCTCACTGGTTTCCATTTAGGGTTAGGCGTTGTTGTCATTTTTGCAATACCACTCATTCCAGGGAGGGTGTCAGCATTCTCTGCTTTGTGTAACTGCAGGTCAAGTATTTGTTTCATATTTGTTATCATGATGAGTATGAGCTGAAGAATGAGAGAATGCCAGTCTGTCATGTAATTTAGGCATAGAGACTAATTTCCATGTCCAGTCCCTGGCAAGTTGCTGTTTAGAACATGACTGAAAGAATGCAGCACACAAAATCTGTTTCTAATGATTTAGAAACATATTTTTGTGGAAACTACATGCAACTAAGAGGAGATGAAGGCATTCTCACACAAATCAAAAAATAAACAAGTCATTGAAAACTCTGAAATCTTTTACTTCATAATTTACTTCACAACCATTTACTCTTTCGTTTCGGTTTATCACATAAATTCACAATAATATCTACTGAATTTTGATGTTCTAACTTGATAAAATGTGGAAAAAGACAAACATTATGAACAGTTTTTCAAGGCACTTTATATAGAGTTTGTGGGGGGAAAAAGAATAACATTTTGAACATTTCTGTTCTCGATACAGCTTTAAATCTTTAATTCCATTTCAAGCAGGTGTGACATTTTGCAGCCAATCAATTCCTACATGAGATTTGTAAAGAGAAATGAACAGCCAGTATTGCAGACTTACCCTCGAGACTCCATTTAAATGATCAGTGTAGCAGTTTTGTGATCCTCCTGTTGCAGAGATCTCAGGATGTAACATTGATTTAGAAGCAGTTTTATTGATGCACTCCCCCTTCTTATTACATGCCCTGATGCTGCAGAATCAGATAATTGGATGACCACCACCTGAGTCCTCCTGCAAATCAGTTGTAAGTGACAGGCAAATGATTTAAAGACAATCCACAAATCTATTTTGAGGATTAGTATCTGGTTTACTTATATTTTGACTTAAATAATTTGCATGTTTATTGCATCAGCATTGCTACTAATTTCCTATATAAATAGTGCACATATAAATATGACATTGATGTTTCTGGCTGAATTAATTGCATTGCGTAATCATGTAAAAAGAAAAAGATAATTGCTTTCTTCTGGACTTTTTTTTAATTATTATGAAATATACAGAAAACGGCCCATAACAATTTTAAAAAAACTGTGAATCAAATTTAGCTAACACACTGAACACAAGTTTGATCATTTTCCACCTTTAGCAAGACTGTAAAATATTTATTGTTCTTGGGTTATAAACTCTTTCCCCCCCTCAGTTTCCAAAGCTTCTACCCTGCAGCATCCTTTTAGCTAAATTATCCAGATGGTCTTTGCCTGTGCTGTACTCTATCATTTAGAGCTGCCTTTACTTTCTCGCTCTATTGTAATGCATATCTGCATGTGGTGCTTTTAGCCTCAGGTTCCTTTTCATAGCGGAATCAGTTAATCTCAATCAATCTGGATTCCTTTTATTCACGCCGGTCACTGCTCGGTCCAGCTCCAGTCAGAAGCCTTTGTGACCAGTCGGTAGAGGGATATTTGTCTTATTTCTGTGGATATTTAACAATAGCCATTTGTATGAGAGACGGGTGAGAAAACATTTGCA